CAAATTACAAAATTGCTATTTTTGAAATTTGGCCATGTGGCGCAGAAATAGGAGGTCTTTAGACCGAGCCAACCATAGTAAAAATGGAAAAAAAGACAGAGTGTGATAGTGAATCCAGCTCACACTCAACTTCAAAAGGTCGGTATGTTTTCTCATTTCACTTATCTCACCTAAAAAACTCAGTAATGGTATCATTGTTGCCTTATTTTCTTATTATTATAAACAGCAAGTTCTGTTACAAGTGATACCTCAAGGTGAATAATATATACAAGTCTATAATTTTCTTTTCCCATTTTTTTCTAACAAGTTATTCTTAACTATTATTGTAGCAATGTTACTGTCAAATTTTCCAAAAAGTCTGAAAGCATAAGGTAACTGTCTGAAAATGTTAAACAAAGGTACTGATAATCTTTGTAATGCTTGTTTTTTAACAAGCTGTTTTTATTATTTTCATAAGTATGGACAAGTTAGAAAAGTATCGTGTCCAATGGTGGAATCAGGGTAACCTTCACCCTATGGCAGAATGGGACAAAATAAAGTAAGTGATGCATATCTTTTATCTACCAAAGATAAATAAACTAACCTTTCACTAATTATATCAAGGCTCCCATATATTCTTGTGAAAGATGGGACTATTGATAAATATGAAGAACATGCAGACCGATTTAATGTCCATGGGTGTTGGGAGTGGGATGCAAAACTTGAAAAAAATGGAATTGTTTTAGGCAATGTGACAATTTATGAATTACCATCACAATCACATGAAGTTTGCATTGGTGCAATTGCTAAACTAATGATGAAACAGTGTAGTCCTGCTGATGAGACAGATGCTGAGATTTATAGCTTTGGGGCTACTAGTAGGCATCAATTCATTAACTTTCTCATTCTATGCCCATATTTTTCAAACTAATCTTGATTGCTTAAAGCAACTCGTGTTAGTGGTTCTGGCAAAGAATCTGATCAACCATTTCGCCCAAGGAAATCTAAAGTAATCTCACCATATGGGAGTGATGGAAAGGTACCTTTTTATTTTTTGTTGCTTTTGAATTCTTCAAAGTTGATTTCATATTATATCTTTAATTTGTAGAATAAACCATGGCCAAACCTTGTTGTAGAAGTAGCATTTTCAGAGTCTATTCGTCATTTCAAGGAAAAGGCATGGAATTACTGGTTACATAACAATCATGCCCATGATGTAATTGTCATTAAGATTGATTATGTTCCCAATGATCAAATTCCTCAGCGTATGAAAGCAAGTATATTTTCACAGCATATGTGTCAATTTTTTTTGTTGTGTATCATTCTAAAATTTTGATCCTCAACAGGTATAGCATTATTGCATATCAGGTACATATGTGCAACAAAAACTTAAACCTATAAACAAGGTAGGTTACATCAGCAAACCTTGTTCTCCGTTGATTTATAAAATTTATAATATATATTGGTTAATTATTAGTTTGAATTTGGTACACATGATGAAAACGAGAATTCATTAAATTACCTACAAGGCACATGTGTGATCAGAATTCCATTAGATTGTTTATATTACAATGTAAAACCCCCCTATTCAAATTCCTACAAGTGTTTTACCAGATCCTATCTTACTTGATTTCTTTTTTGTTAGGCAAGCAATCCTCGGAACATTTGATATTTAGTCATAAAGACTTGGTAAAGTGTCTTAGATAATATTTTCTAGTTGCAATGCTTATTTTATAGTTTATTCATGATTGAAATGAATGTCTTTAAATATTATTGCTTTATATAAAAAATTTATTAATAAAAAAATCGAGCCTAATATTTTTTTCATGTGATGAGAGAATCTTTATTTTTATACAATTTTTTTGAAGTTGCAATAGATAGAAGTACTATGATAAAGAAAGAAATTTTCTGTATTTCAAATAAGTTCTTTTATGCCATTTGTATTTTTACATCCATTAAATCTTCCCATAGCTATAAAATATAACATATATACTACCTTTAATGCAAATTTGGCACCTATATCTTTGAAAACGGGGGAATAATAATGGTTTGAAAACAATATGTTTACTATTATTATGTTCTTTACATAAATTCGGAAATTCTGTATATGGTATTAGTATGCAGATCACAAAAAAAATAAAACTTGCCTCAATGACAATTTACCAAAAGTATACTTGTCTTTTCCATCCAAGTTGGATTGATAGAAAAATCATCTGCATAGTTCATTCAGAATATCAATTTAGTCCATGTCAATGTTGTTGCACATCATTGTAGTGATTCTGCATTAACAAATTTTTGTGATTTAAAACTTCTTTTTATTTTATTTATCTTATATGTTAGATCAGTTGTGCGTTAAAATGAAATCTATGTAAATTTGCAATTCACGTATGTGAATTTCATATCCAAACACCCCACCCAAAATTTACAATCCAAAAAGAATAAATAGGTAAATATTCACAATGATTAACCATTGTAATAAATAATAAATAATAAGATTATCTATTTAAATTAATTATCACGATTATTGTTGTACAAATATCATTAGGCAGGACATTATTTGTATGCGTTTGGATCAGTGCTTATGAGTTGGAGTCAAATACTAGCGTTTAGAAATCAAATTCATATTGAAATAAAATCAAAAATCTATTTAACATTATGGATATTTTCAGCCTTCTTTTATTCATTATTGTTGGCAGGAGTTTCTATCGAATTCCCAAAGGGTACAATAGTAGGATTAATTTATATGGGATTTACAAGTATATTGCTATCAATTTATTTATTTAGAACAGGAAATTTATTCAACAGAGGCAGAAAATTGGTGTTACAATCTTATCTAATTGGATTTCTGATAGGTTTATTAATATTGATTATTTGGATTTGTATAAATAAAGGTTTTGTGGATAGGAAAGCTTCAGGGTTATTTGCCAAATCAAAGGATACTACAACTACTACAACGAATGCTACTACTGATGATTAATAATAAGCCCTTTTTTTTAGTGAGAATGAACAATAACGCAAATTACTATAATAATTAATGAATCAAACAAAATCCAATGATTTCTTCATATTGTTACGTTTAGTGCTGGACGAAGTGGTTGTAGAGGAAATATTTGTGGTAGGAATATTTTGTATCATTATTGTAATTTGTGTTATTATTTTTTGTATTATTATTTTTATCATTTGTATTAGATTCATTTTCAAATTCTGTAATTATTGAACAAAAAGATTTTTTTATAATAGAAAAATAAAAACACCTGGTTTTGGTTTTTTCTGCTCTTTCTCATAAATAAATGAAAATTTTGGCAATATCCACATTATTGTTATTTCTATTGTTCTTATTATAATCAGATAATAATTCAATATTTGTTTTATCATATTTCCAGTTACGAGATCTAAAATCCAAAATCATCAATTTCTTCCTAGATAATAGAAAAAAAATTATTATTCACCTTTTTGCTAATACTTTTCTCTCCAATCACTCCATTTGCTAAATCCAACAAGTTACTAATAATTGTTTTATTTATTCTTTTTGACCTTTTTGACTAATAATGTGTACATTTTGTTGTCAAAAATCCAATTGAAGCTAAAAGAACTGTATGAACTATATATAACAATAAAATTAATAATATAATCAAATTACAAATTATAGTTGCATAATAATAATAATAATAATTAATATTGTTGAACTTTACTTCCCAAGCTGGTAACCAATATTCAGGATGATATCCAGTTATACTAAGGCATATTTTCTTATCAAGTTCAAATCTACCATTTGGCTAAAAATTAAAGGATATTAACAAATATATGAATCTTGATATATATAATATATACACATATACATGCAGTCACTAGTATTAGATTTGGTGACTTAAATGGATATTCAGATGGTAAAAGTATTATCTAATAAACACAGTTAGGCTTACTATATATAGTTATATCATTAATTAGGGTCAGGCCTACGAATTACAAAATGCCATTCAAATAAATTAAAAAAAAAATAAATGCAATATCTCCAAATAAATATAATCTTTTTACCAAATCATTATTATTATTTTACCTCAAGTGGTTAAGCTGCATAATCACTACAAGTATCTTGTTGTAGTTCACAAGGTTCTTTTAAAAGTCTTTTAACGGCCTTTTAATAACGATTTATAATTAATTCGAATGATCAAGAGATATTTAAAATGAAAAATAAGTTATTGGGTTAATGAGAAACCTAGATTTCTCATATTATAAGAGCTTGTTGCCGGTTCCATCACGTCTAAAATTTTAAACAAATCAAAAATAATTTAATTACAGTCAGACCTCCATAAGTGCACCCCCCTTGGGGGACTGAGGGACAGCATGCATTTATGGAGGGTGTGCATTTATAGAGAGAAGAAATTTCATTGGTTTCACGTGTTACAAAAATTTTTAAAAAAACTATCCATTGTTGATGAATTTACTTTTTTTACATTGAGACATCTTTCGATTTTATTAACCAATTTTATTTGTTCACTAGCATTTTCTTGCTGTAATAAAAATGCATGTACAGTTTCAAGACTTT